TCTTGGCAGGATCCGAACGTGTGTGCCAAATATGAATATGCCTCTGACAACATCAACAACATCAGAGTTTTAGATTAGCATCTATATTCCTTGATTCATTAGAACTTTTTTTTACTTTTTTTTCTTTTATTATGTTATTAGTCACCATACAATACATCATTAGTTTTTGATGTAGTGATCCACAATCCATTGTTTTCGTATAACACCCAGTGCTCCGTGCAGCACGTGCCCTCCTTAATACCCATCACCAGGCTAACCCATCCCCCACCCCCTCCCCTCTAGAACCCTCTTTTTAATTGAAACAAAGTCAATCTTCTCAGTAATAGGATAACACCAGCTAGTTTTTCTGGGCTGTGAATAATTATGGGACCAAGTTGATTGGTCTGCCTAGAAAAATAAAAATATTTGGAATCATCCTAGCAACTTCCTACTTCTGTTGGAACTAGATCCTTGATTATATAAAGATAGTGCGGTTTATTGCTATACAGATAGGTTGCCGAGATTACTACCAGACGCCCATGGCAAAAGAAATAATGCTGAAAGAGAAATTCTGAGAAATGTTATTTAACTTAGACTTTAAATCTAGATAAGCTCTGGATACGCAGAAGTAACAAAAATAAATGAGAAGGAAAAGTTATGCCATTAGAGGGCACTTTTGTAATCTTAGAAGAAAAGTCAGTTCTTATAGACTAGCTTACCCAAGTCTTATTCTTAAGAGGAATGTATTTTTAGTTGTTTATTTAAAATGACTAATTCTTAAGCTGAGTGTCAGAGAGGGTATTTTATTGGTAGAGGAAAAAAATCTATAGAATCTTAAAACAATCCTTTAAACAATATCTAAGTGACACTTGAAACCTGAATCAGTGAATAGAAGTTGTAAAAATATATACACTCTGAATAATAGTTTTTTGATTAACTATCTTTGATGCTTCTTTTAAATACATTTCGTTTAAAATAATTCTGCCTGCAACCTGATCAAATTGATCAAATGATTAACTTTTCCTAATAACTGAGTATGCTTTTCCCCAACAGTAGATGAATGTTATTAAATAACATTTTGAAAGAGATAATCCTATAGAATATAAAGACTTGTGCTTTGGGATCATACTAATTTTTTCCAGTTTCTTTGAACAATAGTTGTCATATATCACTGTGTAAATTTAAGGTGCACACGTGATAGTTTGATTTATATATATCATGAAATGATTACCACAATGGGCTTAGCTAACATCCATCTTCTTATAGAGATACAAAGGAAAAAAAAAGAAGAAAAGAAAAAAAAGATCATACTAATTTTAAACACTTTTCCAAAAACTGTTTTGCCCATAATATATGGCAATTAAAATGGTTAAAATTGTTTCAGAAACAAAAAGCTGACCTGATAGAATTTTAGCTGGAGAAATAATGATTTTTTTTTATAAAGAAAGCAAAAAATAGAGTTGAGTCTACTCCCTGTTGGTGGTAATCTAAATAAAAACTTCTGCCTGAGCCAGTAAAGTAGATAAGCCAGTAAAATAATTTAGCAAGTAAGACAGAGTGTCAAGAACTGTGAAGAGTTTGAGATTTTACTCTGCTTGTAAGCTAACAAGTCAGCCTGTCAAACACAGTATCATCGATGCTAGATGGCATGAGCCTCCTGGGTCAGAGACAAAAGCAGTACTCAGAGCAACTCAGAGCCATCCCTAGCACAATCCACTGGCTCCCTGACCCCCAATTCCCACAGATGAAAAGAGGGCCAGATAGCACCAGCCCCAAATAGTTTTTTTTTTTTTTTTTTTTTTATGAGAGGAACCCTGAACTTGGGGAGCCCAGATCTTCCATGGTATAGTGATCATGTCTGCTCTTGGCTCAGGAAACTTTATCTTCCAAGGCTTTTCGTTGCACAGACATCCTTGAGAAGATAATCTGGAGCAAAGGCAGTGAACTCCTCTGCTCCCAAGACGTGCAAAAACAAGCACAGAGACCCATGGAGGATTATCTCTCTACACTTACTTTGTAGAATCCTATCATCTGAAGCTGTTCACTGCTATTATTTATTTATAAATGAAAAAGTAGCTGATGTGGCAAATATACAATAATCCTATTTTCCATATTTTTTAACTTACTCGTGAAAAATAGTTTGTATTTCTTACATCGTATTGTATTCACTATGTGATCTTACCTGTCCAAGCCTCAGTTTGATCATTTTTGAAATGAGAAAATAATAGTACCTACATCATAGAGTTGTTGCTAGCATTACATGAGATTTTATATATATATATATAAAGCATTGAGAAGAGTGCAGCATGTACAAAACAAAACTTACTAATATTGTTGTTTTTAACTCAAAATTCATTTCTTATCACTCGCTGATTTAATAAAGAGAAAATTCTTCCCATGGATGGCTAAGGAAGCTGGGAAGATAGCTACCTCCCTAACTCTGGAGCTGACCTAAATATCCCCAATATCCTGGGACATTGGGCAGCCTGTCCTGCTCGGTCATACGGTGGTACTATGTAACTGACAACTTTCTGGGCAAACATAGCGCCTAATGAGGTAACGCTGCCTGAGAGTGGTTCTAGGGCAAATACACCTGAGTATCTCATACTCAAGTGCTGCCATCACATGTCTGCTCTAAGTTCCTAATAAGTATGGAAAGCCAAATTCTAACCACTTCTAAAGAGACCAATTTTATTGTCTGGCTTCTTCTGCTCTCAGGAGGCAAAGTTTCAGGGATGCTGCTACAAAGTAAACTGGATATTTTCCATTATGCTGAAATAATAATTTCTTAACAGGGGCAGCCAAGCAAATTCTAGCATATCAAATTGTTCACTTCTGTTAGCTACAGGAGGAGGGCATCAGAGGGGAGGGATTAAGGTTTGTGAGTAGAGGTCCCATTCCGTTTGGTCAACCATGTCCATGTTTGTTTCAAATGGGTTCATTGAGTTTTGATTTTGATCCATCTAGCCATCTTTTATAGTTATAAGCTTCATCTGCTATTAGTAACTAATATGAGCTCCCGCTTTCCATCCCCAACTTCCCTTCGATTCCATCCTGACAATTATATGGACATCTGAGGTTCAGATTACTTAATGAAACTTAAGAAGGCCTGGTCTTATTCCTAAATTGCTAGCTAGTTGGGAGGAGGAGTTGAGGATTCAGTCTCAGAATCATCATTTGTTTTCAAAGTTTAGAGATCATCACCTTAACCCTTCAGAAAATTGAGGTCCATCCGGAGTGGTTAACTGTGGTGCCTTAGATTACACATCTAGTTAGTGCTGCAACTAAAAAGTCAGATTTCTTAGCTCTCAGTCAAGTTTTCAGTCAATTACAATACAATTGAGAAATAAGGATGAGAAATAAGAGCCCCTTGTAAGAACTTATGATGGCTTTCTTGAGAGATATTACAGAGGACAAACGTTTGGGCTCTGCAGTCAGATCCACCTGGATTTATATCCTTTCTCCGCTTACGTAAGTGGAGATTTACTCTTACATGAGAAGAGTACCTACTTCACAAGGTTATTGGGAGGACTAAAGGCAATAATGCAGCTAGTGAATTTAACATCTTGTTTTGCACATAGTAACTCTCAATTACTATAGATATCTTATATGGAAAACTGCAAAACACATGACAAAAAAAAACCTGTTTTTGAAAAAAGAAGTTAAATTTATTTTTTGGGTAAGCTCACTGTGAGAAAATTACTTCTCACATTCTCATAAAAAAAAAAAAAAGCTTACTTCCTTCAAAAAATATTTTTAGTTGTATGAATCTATTTTTTATAGCACTCCAAGGAAGATAAAATTAAAGTTAAATGATGGTTTAAGTAGAGGTGATCTCATAGCTGTAGTAATGACACTTTAGAAATAAAACTGGCTTTCACTTCATTTCAAATTATTGCAAATATTTTCATTCTACTTTCTCACTATTCAAAGCACTTAAGTGTAAACACACTATGTTTCCCTAATGCTTGAAATCCCTGATGTAAGTTGTCTAAAAGATAAGGGAAAACAACTTCTTACAGAGTTCTTTTTGTGAGGAAGAAAGGCACCAAGTCTTCAGAGGAAGGAAAGCCTTTTACCAGTACTTGACATCAAAAGAACTTGCCTACATGAGGCTTCCTGTTAGGGACACTGAGACATGTAGAAGATGGTGTCCTTGACAATATCCCCACAGCAGCGTGCAGTAGAGAGTGATCCATAATTACCTATAGGATCTTTGATGAAAGTCAGTTTGAATGCCAAAATGTAACTCAATGAAAATACTCTGCTGGAGTAGTAAATATATAACTCTGCTGGAGGTTAAGACAAATGACCTAACTATACAACTTTCCAATGGTCTCACTTGATCTGAGAGAGGGAATCCAAGCCCACTTCTAATATGGCAAAGATTTACATTTAAATGTTGTGTTGAAGAGTCTAGTAGTGAATAATAATTAGAGATCAGCAAATAATTTATCTTCTGATTTTGGACAAATTGCTTAACCTATAACAAAATTAACTTTATCATCTCTAAAAACCTCTGGTTTATGAAAATCTGATCTTGGAAACAAGAATAATACTATACATGTATAATCCTTAGTCAAATTTCAAGGAAGAATAAAAGTAATTGTGCAATGGTAATGGACTCTCAGTGAGTCTGTGTGTCTCTTTATGGTATGGTTCAACCGTTGAGACATTTGTATACCCATTTCTACAAGAACCATATTGGCTTCTACCATATTGAAGTGGGGATTTTCTCTCTGAATATCCAGAGAAGTTAATGCACCAAGAGTCCTTTCATTTCAAAATCTTTTTCATATCTGAAATTCTAGTGAATTTATTATCAATTCCATGAAATACTTTGGGGAAAAAACAAAACAAAACAGGAAAGTTGTCTTCAAGATCATGTATGTATCCAAAATACATACTACAACTCTAACTTCCTGTCAAAACTAAAATATTCTTAACCCTTTAGAAAGTTTGCAACTTGCCCAAGCATCTACCTGCAGAACTAATGTAAGCCATCATTTCTGTTGCCCCAGGATGGTGCCTCTCCACTGGTGTCTACTATGGCTGCTATTACCACTCAGCTCAAGGACTCAGAAGTTACCCACTCGAGATGAGGAACTTTTTCAGATGCAGATCCGGGACAAAGCATTTTTTCATGATTCATCAGTAATTCCAGATGGAGCTGAAATTAGCAGTTATCTCTTTAGAGACACACCCAAAAGGTATTCTCTCTACAGTACCTTCTTTATCAATAAGTTCATTATAAGCAAAGTAACCATTAAACTTAGATTAGGTAATTTACAATCAACCTCTGAATAATATTGCCTATTTTCTCTAAGAGAATGACAACACAACTTTTAATCATTAAGTAGAGGCTATTTGATCCTTGCTGATTGTGATCTCTTTTGGGATGGAGAGAGCAGTTTTTGCAGTTCTTACATTTTAGAATGATTATTTTCTTATCTTTGGGATAGCAGGAAATTTCTAAGAAGGGTTCTGTAGGATTGAGGTGAAATTAATCAAGAACAGGGTTCAAAACAGGGGCATAAGAAGACCCTGAGCTCACCTCCTCCTATTCACACAACAAAACTACAGCTACATATAGAACAATTCTCTCTGAAGAAGATCTGACAACTAGCTGAACAGTTCCTCCACACAAAGGATAAAAAGCCCACACACAGAGATGGGCAGGAGAGGCAGGCATGATCTTGCGAGAAACCCTACCGCTAGTGTGGCAATTCACAAACAGAAAGACTCTGACAAATACAGAGCACATCCCTGAGGAACAAGGGGTTTGAGCCCCACATCAGACACCCCAGCCCGTGGGACCTGCACCAGAAAGACAAAACCCAAAACATCTGGCTTATATCTAGGAGACCCAAAAGGCTATGAGAAACTAAGCCTCCAATCTTTTTTTTTTTTTAAAGGTTTACTTATTTATTTATTTTAGAGAGCAGGGGGAAGGGCAGAGGGAAAGCATCTCAAGCAGACTCCCCACTGAGCGTGGAGCCCAATGTGGGGCTCAGTCTCACAACCCTGAGATCATGACCTGAGCCAAAACCATGAGTAGGACACTCAACAAACTGAGCCACCCAGGCGCTCCCTAAGAGTCCACTCTTAAAGGGCATATGCACAGATTTACTCACCCCAGGACCCAGTGCAAACATAATAAGTTGAAAAATGCCTAGACTACATACAAAGGAGATTCACTGGATAATCTAAAAGTGTCTGCTGGAAGGGCAGGGGTCTCTTAGAACTCTTTTGAGTCACAGAGGTGTTGGCAAGTATCATTTTTGCCTTCTCCCTCTACCTTGTTAGCACCGCTAACTGGTAAATCTGTTTACCACACTGTTAAACCTGACAGGTGGGCTTGCCCCAGCCTGGCACTCTACCACAACCCAACCAAAGCCAGCATATGTGCACGGACCACACAGGGGATGCCCCTTGAATTCCTGGCTCTGGTGACCAGGATGGTTACATTTCTGAGCCCCGTGGGATTAAAATAATCAGGGAGACAGTTCTTGGCAGGCTACCACCACCAGGATACTGCAGAGACTAAGACTGAGACACCCCAGTCGTCCTGTGATCAATCCTTCAAGACAGGGAGAGATAGTTCTTTCACCTAATGCATAGAAACCAACACAGAGACTTGAACAAAATGAAAAACAAACAAACAAACAAACAAACAAAATAGAGGAATATGTTCCAAATGAAGAATAAGATGAAACCCCAGGGAGGAAAAAAAAGAAAAAGAAAAAGAAAGAAAGAAAAAAAAAAACCTTAATGAAACAGAGATAAGTAATTTACCTGATAAAGAGTTCAAAGTAGTGGTCATAAGGATGCTCAGCAATCTTGGGAGATGAATGGGTGAACAAAGAGGGAGTTTTAACGAAGAGATAGATAATATAAGAAATCAGTACCAGACAGAAGTCATAGATCTTAAAAATACAGTAACTGAACTGAAATATACACTATGGGGGTTCACCAATAGACTAGATAAAGCACAAGAAAGGATCAGTAACCCAGAAGACAGGGCAGTGCAACTCACCCAAACAGAGCAGAAAAAAGAAAAAGTAATCTGAAAAAAATGAAGATTGTTTAAGAAACCTATAGGACAACATTAGGTGGAACAACATTTGCATATTATAGGTCCCAGAAAGAGAAAAGAGAGAAAGGAACAGAAAACTTATTTGAAAATATAATGGTTGAAAACTACCCTAACACATAATAAAACATATATCCATATCCAGGAAACCTAGAGTTCAAAATAAGATGAACCTAAAGAGATCCACACTAAGATATATCACATTAAAATGTCAAAATTCAAAGATAAAGAGAAAATCTTAAAACCAAGAGGAAAACTTGTTACAAATAAGGGAACCTCCACAAGATGATCAGCAGATTTTTCAGCAGGAACTTTGCAGGCCAGAAGAGAATGACATGATATATTCAAAGTGCTTCAAGCAAAAAACTTCCAACCATGACTACTCACCCAGCAAGATTTTCAGAATTGAAGAGAGATAAAGAGTTTTCCAGATAAGCAAAAACTAAAGGAGTTCATCACCACTAAACCAGCCTTACCAGAAGAAATGTTAAAGAGATGTCTTTAAGATGAAAAGAAAGGGCACTGACTAGTACCAAGAAACCATATTAAAGTAAAAATTTCCCTGGTAAAGGTAAATATATATTAAAGGTAGTGAACTAATCACTTCTAAGGCTAGCATGAAGATTAAAAGACAAAAGTAGTAAAAAATATAACTAAAACTACAACAATTAGTTAGGGTATATACACAAAATGATGTAAAATGTGACATCAGAAGCATAAAATGTGGGACTGGGAAGTAAAAATGTAGAGTTTCAGAATGTGTTCATACTTTTTACCAACTTAAAATAGACTGGTATATATACATAGGCTTATATTTGTAAGTCTCATGGTGACCACAAAGCAAAAACCTATGGCATATACAAAAAAGATAATGAAAATGGAATCTAAACATAACACTAAAGAAAGCCATCAAACCACAAGGGAAGAAACCAAGAGAAAGAGAAAGAACAGAAGGGAACTACAAAAAAGCCAGAAAACAATGAACAACAACAACAACAACAAAATGGCAGTATACACCTACCTATAATTACTTTAAACATAAATGGACTAAATTCTCTGATCAAAAGACATGGTGTGGCTGAATGGATTTAATTCTATATGGTCCCTACAAGAGACTCAGTTTAGATGTAAGGACACACAGAGACTGAAAGTAAAGGGATGGGAAAAGATGTTCCATGCAAATAGAAACCAAAAAACAGTTGGGGAAGTTATGCTTATATCAGAAAAAAATAGACTTTAAAACAAAAGACTATAATAAAAGACAAAGATGGGCATTACATAATGATACAGGGGTCAATCCAGCGAGAAGATGAAACATTTGTAAATATATTTTTTTAATTTTTTAAACATTTGTAAATATTTATATACCCAATAGAGATAGGAGCACCTAAACATATAAACAAATATTAACAGACCTAAAGGGAGAAGTTGAGAGCAATACAATTATAGTAGGGGGACTTAGTACCCCATATTCATCAATGGATGGCTCATCCAGACAGAATATCAATATCAATATGGAAACACTGGCCTTAAATGACACATTAGACCATTTACTAGATATATACAGAAGATTCCATCCATAAGCATCAGAATATACATTCCTCTCAAGTGCACACAGAACATTCTCCAGGATAGATTGTATGTTAGGCCACAAAAAAAGTCTCAATAAATTTAAGAAGATTGAAATTACATCTAACATCTTTTTAGACCATAATTGTATGAAACCAGAAATCAATCATAAACAGAAAACTGGAAAAATCACAAATATGTGGAGATTTAAAAACATGCTACTGAACAACCAGTAGGTCAATGAAAAAATAAAAAAATACCTTGAGACAAATGAAAGTGGAAAAGTCACACACCAAAATTTATGGGACGCAGCAAAAGCAGGTCTAAGAGGGAAGTTCTTAGTGATACAGGACTACCTCAAGAAATAAAAAAATCTCAAATAAATAATTTTATACCTAAAGGAACTAGAAAAATGTAATGAATGAATCCCAAAGTTAAAAGAAGGAAGAGAATAATAAACATGAGTGGAAATAAATAAAATAGAGACTAAAGAGACAATAGAAAAGATTCCAATGAAACTAAGAGCTTGTTCTTTGAAAAGATAAACAAAATTGATAAACTTTTAGCTCCACTCACTAATAAAAAAAGAGAGGACTCAAATAAAATCAGAAATGAAAGAAAGTAAGTTACAGTTGATACCAAAAAGATACAAAGGACCTACTATGAGACTAATATGAAGAATTATATCCCAATAAATTGGACAAACTAGGAAAAACATGGACAAATCCCCAGAAACATATAATCTTTAAGACTAAATCATGAGGAGTAGAAAATCAGAATAGACCAATTATTAGCAAGAAGATTGCTAGTCCCAACAAACAAAAGTCCAGGATGAGATGGCTTCACTGATGAATTCTACTAAACATTCAAAGAAGATCTAATACCTATCCTCCTCTAAATATTTCAAAAAATTGCAGAGGATGGAACACTTCCAAACTCATTTTATGAGGCCAACACTACCCTGATACTGAAACCTGATATAAGGACACCACACACAAAAAAAAAAAAAAAAAAAGAAAGAGAGAGAGAAAGAAAGAAAGAAAATTACAGACCAATATCCCTAATGAACATAGATGCAAAACCCCTCAACAAAATATTAGCAGACCAAATTCAAATAATACATTAAAAAGATCATACACCACCATTAAGTGAGATTTATTCCAGGGATGCAAGGATGATTCAAGATCCACAAATCAATAAGTGTGATACCACATTAACCAAATGAAGGATAAAAATCATATAATCACCTCAACAGATGCAGGAAAAGCATTTGGTAAATTCAACATCCATTTATGATAAAAATTTTCCACAAAGCAGGTATAGAGGGAATGTACCTCCACTTGGTAAAGGCCATATATGACAAGCCTACAGCTAATATCACACTTAATGGTGAAAAGAAGAAAGCTTACCCTCTAAGATCAAGACAAGACAAGGATGCCCACACTTGCTACTGATATGTAACATGGTATTGGGAGTCCTAGCCTAAGCAATTAGGAAGAAAATGATATAAAAGGTGTTCAGATTGGAAAGGAAGAAGTAAAACTGTCACTGTTTGCAGGCAACATGATTTTATATATAGAAAACCCCTAAGATTCCACCAAAAAATGTTGTAACCAATAAACAAATTTATTAAAGTTGCAGGATACAAAAATCAATATACAAAAATCTGTTGTTGTTTTTTAATACACTGATAATGAACTACCAGAAAGAGAAATTAATAAAAACAATCCTGTTTACAATTGCATCAAAAATAATAGAATACCTAGGAATAAATTTAACCAAGGATGAAAAAGACCTGTATACTGAAAACTGACACTGATGAAAGAAATTAAAGAAGACACAAATAAATGGAAAGATATTCTGTGTTCACGAATTGGAAGAATTAATATTGTCAAAATGTCTATACTACCCAAAGCAATCTATAGATTCAGTGAAATCCCTATCAAAACTCCAATGGCATTTTTCACAGAACTAGAACAAATAATTCTAAAATCTGTATGGAACCACAAAGACCCTGAAAACCCAAGCAATCTTGAGAAAGAAGGACAAAACTGGAGGTGTTATTTTTCCTGATTTCGAACTGTACTACAAAGGTATAGTAATCAAAACAGTACGGTATTGGCATAAAAACAGATACATAGATCCATGGAGCAGAATAGACAGCCCAGAAATAAACCACGAATACCTGGTCAATTAATTCATCACAAAGGAGCCAAGAATATACAATGGGAAAAGGACAGTTTGTTTAAAAAAATGTTGTTGGGAAAACTGGATAGCCACATGCCCAAGAATGAAACTGGACCACTAATCTAAACATAGGCAGTAAGCTCCTTAACATTGGTCTTAGCAATGTTTTGGGTTCTTTTTTTTCTCTGTTTGTTTGGGTTTGTTGGTTGGTTGGTTGGTTGGTTGGTTTTGGATCTGGCTCCAAAGGCAAGGACAACAGAAGCAAAAATAAACAAGGACAATGAAAGCAAAAATAAACAAACACATCAAACTAAAAAGCTTCTGCATAATGAAGGAAATCATTAACAAAATAAAAAGACAACCTACTGAATGGGAGAAGATATTTGCAAATCACATATGTAATAAGGGGTTAAAATCCAAAATATATAAAGAATGCATACAACTTAAAAATAAAAACACAACTAACCTGATTTAAAAATGGGCAGAGGATATGAATAGACCTTTTTCCAAAAAAGACATCCAGATGGCCAATAGGTACATGAAAAAATGCTCAACATCACTCATCATCAGGGAAATGCAATCAAAACCATAATGAGATGCCACCTCACACCCGTCGGAATGACTATTATCAAAAAGACAAGAGATAATAAATATTGACAAGAATGTGGAGAAACAGGAACCCTCGGGCACTGTTGGTGGAAATATAAATTGGTACAGCCATTATGGAAAACAGTAATAGGTCCCTCAAAAATCTATAAAGAGAACTATCATATGATCCAGCAATTCCACCTCTGGGTATCTATCCAAAGAAAATGAGGGAATGTAATGTACAGCATGGTGACTACAGTCAGTATTATATTGCGTATTATGTAATTTTATATGGTTACAAGGGGGAAGTAGACTCACTGTGATGATCATTTCACAGTGTATACATAAATCATTATTTTGTACCTTTGAAATTAATATATTTCAACTGTATCTCAATAAAACAGGGCTTAAATAGCTAAAAAAAAAATGAAATTAAATGAATACATATGATTCCTCAAGGGTTTACATTGTATTATAAGGATAATATTTCTGGGGTGCCTGTGTGGCTCAGTTGGTCAAGCACCCGACTCTTGATATCAGCTCAGGACTTGATCTCAGGGTCGTGAGCTCAAGCCCTGTACTGGACTCCATGCTGGGTGTGGGGCCTACTTAAATTAAAAAAAAAAAAAAAGATAATATTTCTTTGAACAATATGATTAGGTTCTGAGAATATTAAACCAAACTGTAGTAAAAACTGTCACAGTTCCTTTATCTTTACTCCATCAACAAATTAGGCTCACATAATGATTCTAAATATTTTGACCTTGAAAAATGATATATATTTGTTTATCCTTTCTTGGCTTTTTCCCCCCACAAATAATGATCAGGGGCTTTGATATCTACATTGGGATGAAATGTTACCTCACACTGAGTTGAGAGTTACAACAACAATAGAAACATCATTTCTAGGAGTGAAAGACACAGTGGGAGGCACTCACAGACATTGTTGATATTACAACTAACGATGAAATTTCAGATAAAATGTAGCAGCAGCGGATAGCTTTTTTCATTAATTATTCTTATGTTTACACATAAATTCCAAAGGCTAAATGGTTCATGGAGTGTTTATCCCTCGGCTTTGGCATTATAATTTGGGGCCATGTTTTCTTAGTTATTCATTGCATTTCTGTCTGCCTCACCAGCCAGTAAATATCTGGAGCACATAGATCAGGCCCTATTATCTGTGATTGCTGTTCTCTTCCACAAATGCTCTGTGTATGGTAGCCAACAAATGTTTGTCAAATTGTTAAAGTTTATTCAGATTATCTTTTATCCCTAATCGTAAATGCCTCCATATGAAAATGTTGAGTTAGAGGGACTCCCTGCTGTTTTATATGTATAATGAATACCTTGTGGAATGCAAGAATTGTTTTGTCATTGGTTGCCTATGGCCTGTATTTAAGTTAGTAAGACACAGTTACTTTAGGAAATAAGCTACTTCCTTGTTTGAAACGAGGACAGAAGGTAGTAGATGAACTGACACATTGATTTCGGCTTCAGCAGTTAGCTCTGCTACCCACATAAAAATCTAACCCTAGAAGTTTGGAACACTTTTTTACTTCCATGATACCAAACAAAATATTTTGTTGTACCTATTTCTTTGTAATATAGATGGGTTCAGTTGTGTGTGTATTGTTAATGTATCCCATGTGCCCTGGCCAAAGGAGCAAAATTTTACTGTCCCGGAAGTAGACTGAATTGGAAATTAAGCCATCTGACACTTGTCTTGAAAGATGCTTATGATACATAAACTTCCTACCCAGTAAATAGTATAGTTATTTTGTCTACATGACATCTAACTTTATTATTTTATGAACAAGTTGTTTTTACTTTTATAGAGTCTTTGTCTTCCCACTGCCTGACCCCTACCCTCCTTCTTTTAATTCTTATTTGAATGGTGAGGGGGGAAAGTGCTGATAGTGCCATTCAGATTCTGTATCTTTAGATAGAAACAGACTTGAGGTGTAAGTCTCCTGGAGCTGGAACAATAGGATTGGTGTTAGGATTCTTGGGTTCTATTCATTAATTTAGTAATTGATCATTCAAAAATATTTATCAAGTACCTACTACATGCAGAAATCAGTGCTAAGTGCTGGAATACAATGACATGGCACAGGAACTCTAAGTGGGCCTTTGTAGAGAAAATGACAATCAAATAATACAAATATATCGTCACAAATTTTAATAAGTGCCCCAGGTGAAAAGTACAGGACGCTCTGAGAGTATACAAGAACCAGACCCAGAATTAGGAGTCAGAAAATGCAGCCCTGAATTCAGAAGTGACACTTAAATATGAGTAAGGGCAAAGGGGAGCATTTCAGGCATATGAAACAACATTCCAGAGGTGCCAATATGGGGTAGATTCTGGGAAACTAAGGGAGTCCCATGTGATTCAAGCACAGAAGAGGAGAGGCCAGTGAGGTAGGCAGGGGCCCCATCACTGAGGAAGTTTTAGACTCTGCAAACAATTAAGGACTTTTCCCCAAAAAGCTGAAGTCTAAAATACTCATCAATTCATCCAACAAATACTTATTAGGAATTATTTTAGTCTCTAAGTCTTCATCAATGAACTGAATGCCCTGCCCTCTTATAGCTTGCATTCTAGTTAGAGGAGATGGAAAAATAAAAAGGTAAACAAAGAAATAGATAATATGTCAGGTAGTGATAAGTGCTGTGAAGACAAATGAAGAAGTGTGAAGGAGAGCTTCATGGGTAGGAAGGTGATATTTCCCATAAAGGGTCAGAGTAGGTCTGTTAAATGAATAAAAACAAAACCAGTGATTTTTCTAGTGACTCTTGATTATAAGTCCTAGTAAGAATGATCTCAGTCTGAATTGGCCCACTTCCCCACAGGTATTTCTTCGTGGTTGAAGAAGACAATACTCCATTATCAGTCACAGTGACTCCCTGTGATGCACCTTTAGAGTGGAAGCTGAGTCTCCAAGAGCTGCCAGAGGAGGCAAGCGGGGAAGGCTCCGGTAAGCAGCATGCTAAGTCTGGCCCCAGACTGCTCAATGGATAGCTGAAAGACCTGTGACATAGACTGCCTTTGGTCTGTAAGAAAAACCAGCATGGATGCACAGGTGAAGACGCTGGAGACTTTGCAATGGGGATGAGAGAAATGGGGGATGGCACCGAATGATGGTGATCTTGGTAAAATAAACAGTTAAGGGAGACAGACGCGGAGCCTGAAGGAGTGAGGAAAATGGAAAGGTTTGGACTACCCTCTCCAGCTGTGGTTTGCAATCCCACCCAAACACTGGAATTAACACTGGGGGCTTTATAAACTACCAATGCCTGGATCCCACCCTTAGAGGTTCTTATTCAGTTGTCCTGGAGTGTGATCTGGACACTGGGACTCTTAAAATCTCCCCCTAGGTGATTGCGGTATGCAGCCAAGATCTCTGGGGAGTAAAGGGTGGCACCAGAAAGGGGAGTAAAAAGGCACTGAGCACTGTTGAAAGGCCAGGATGACAAGAAAGTCAGTAAGAGGGCTATGTTAGGCATTTAAAGAAGATGCAGATGGTGCAAAGCAAATACCAAGATACAGGGAAATGAGAAGAGTCCATATGAGGCCCTGGGGTGACCTGCTCCCTTTAAGGGGTGAAGGGATCATAGCTTAAAGGTGAAGGCTTGGTGACTGGTGCCACGCAAAGGATGCTAGCAAGATGCGCTACTTGTAGGGATAAGATGACAGAGAGTTGTAACTAGGAAAAGATGGGAAGTATGTCATCAGGGAGGCAGAGAATAAATAACTGCATGAGATTGTTCATCTCATGGTTTGGGAATATGAAATTCTATATCCCTCACTCAACTTGCCGCAATAAGCTGAACAAGATACATTCCCACACTGGCTACTCAATCTTTCACTAAGTCCTGTAAACGTATCTGGCATCTATATGATATCTGATATTAACAATAAAAAGACAGAAAAAAATAGTTTGGTTTCAATACTCTCCTCCTATTATTCCTAGGCATGTGTTCTCTACACTGAAAATTAGTTACTCTTACTGGTGCTTTATATTCTATATTTTAATGAGAGACTGTCCTGTCCTAGTAACAAGAGTAAAAGTAGTGAAATGGCTGGTCATCAAAATGCAATCAGATTGAATCATTTTGATAAGCAGACTGACAGTAGGGATTAATCTCTAAAAGGTTTACAGTCTCTGACCTGAAACTTCCAATAATTGGAGTCTATCCTGAAGCCTAAATTTAAATATATATATATTTTATATATATTTTTTATATATGTAAATATATATTTTATATATATAGGCATTATCTTAAATTGTCAAAAATTGACCAACAGTATTATTTATATATTTATGAAAATATTGTTTTTAAAAAATTTTTATTTTATTATATAATAATAATATTAAGTGAGAAAGACAGGATTCAAGATGGAGGTTTGTCTGGGAACATATATGTATGAGAATAAATGTTACTAAGTTATAGAGAAAGATGAAAAAGAATACCAGTTGCATAAAAATACGTAAAGGACTGAATGGAAATGAATCAAAATATTAATGGATGATTTTTTATCCTGTTCTCTTTCTCTATTTCCCGTTATCTACTGGGAACGTTATAATTTTTTAAATTTTTATTTATTTATTTATTTTAGAGAGAGAGCACAAGTGGGGAGAGGGGCAGAGGGAGAGGAAGAGAGAATCCCAAGCAGACTCTGCGGTGAGCATGGAGCCTGACTTGGGGCTCAGTCCCACAACCCAGAGATCATGACCTGAGCGGAACTCAAGAGTTGGATGCTTAACTGACCAAGCCACCGAGGCGCCCCACATTATTATTTTTATAACAGAGAATAAAGAAGATAGTTTCGAAAATAGGATTTAAGGTCGGCAAGCCACAGTACGTACCCTGACATGTAGCTTGTGTTTTTCTCGTGTCTTCTAGGTGACCCAGAGCCTCTGGAGCAGCAGAGGCAGCAGATCATTAATGAGGAAGGCACAGAATTATTCTCCTACAAAGGCAACGATGTGGAGTATTTTATATCTTCTAGTTCTCCATCTGGTTTATATCAGTTGGAGCTTCTTTCAACAGAGAAAGACACGCATTTCAAAGTCTATGCCACCACAACTCCAGATTCTGATCAGCCCTACCCCGAATTACCTTACGACCCAAGGGTAGATGTTACCTCCCTGGGACGCACCACGGTCACTCTGGCCTGGAAACCGAGCCCCACGGCCTCCTTGCTGAAACAACCCATTCAGTACTGTGTGGTCCTCAACAAAGAGCACAATTTCAAAAGCCTCTGCGCAGTAGAAGCCAAACTGAGCGCAGATGACGCTTTCATGCTGGCTCCAAAACCCGGTCTGGACTTCAGCCCCTTTGACTTTGCCCATTTTGGGTTTCCTTCAGAGAATTCGGGTAAAGGACGCAGCTTGCTAGCAAAGCCTTCTCCCAAACTGGGGCGGCACGTCTACTCGAGGCCCAAGGTCGACATTCAGAAAATCTGCATCGGAAACAAGAACATCTTCACCGTCTCAGATCTGAAACCCGACACCCAGTACTACTTCGATGTCTTCGTGGCCAACAGCAACAGCAACATGAGCACGGCGTACGTGGGCACCTTTGCCAGGACCAAGGAGGAAGCGAAACAGAAGACGGTCGAGCTAAAGGACGGGAAAGTCACGGATGTGTTCGTCAAGCGGAAGGGAGCGAAGTTTTTACGGTTTGCGCCAGTCTCTTCTCACCAAAAAGTCACTTTCTTTATTCACTCCTGTCTGGATGCTGTTCAAATCCAAGTGAGGAGGGACGGGAAACTTCTTCTGTCTCAGAATGTGGAAGGTGTTCGGCAGTTTCAGCTTCGAGGAAAGCCCAAAGCGAAGTACCTCATCCGCCTGAAAGGACACAAGAAAGGAGCATCGATGCTGAAAATACTGGCTACCACAAGGCCCAGCAAGCAGCCCTTCCCCTCTCTTCCTGAAGACACAAGAATCAAAGGCTTCGACAAGCTCCGCACCTGCTCTTCGGCCACTGTGGCGTGGCTGGGCACTCAGGACAGGAACAAGTTCTGCATCTACAAAAAGGAAGTGGACGACAGCTACAACGATGACCAGAAGAGAAGAGAGCAAAACCAATGCCTAGGACCGGATACAAGGAAGAAATCGGAAAAGGTCCTCTGTAAATATTTCCACAGTCAGAACCTACAGAAAGCAGTGACCACGGAAACAATTAAAGGGCTTCTGCCGGGAAAGTCTTACCTGCTGGATGTGTATGTCATAGGGCATGGGGGGCACTCGGTGAAGTACCAGAGCAAAGTCGTGAAAACCAGGAAGTTCTGTTAGTTACCTCGTCTGGAGAGATGCTATTCCACAGACCTGCAGGAGAGACATGGAATCACTTTAAGGATAGACTGACTAATCCCACGGCTGAGAGAAGCGGTGACCGGTCGTCAGACCATGGAGGGAGGGATATCAACTTGCGTATGTTGGGTTGATATGAGTAGCTGTGGAGAAGACTTGGTGTCTAGTGAGCCTCAGTGGTACCTAGTGTGCGTCTGCTGCCCGCTGCTGTCGAAGCGACAGGGCATCTGGAAGGAACCGCCATCCCTTGTTTTGACCACTGCATGAACTGCTTCTAAATTATTTTATTACATGAAAGTTTAAAATATGCCATTCATTGCACACATCCACAAATGCAAATCATTCCTCTCTATAGATGCTAGGATATATATAAATTATTTTATAAAGTCTTGTTTTAAATGTCAGTGTTTCTATGATTGTAAACTATTAAATTCTTTTCCTGTTAAAGTACAGATCTAATCTAAGTATATAATTAAGTGGACAGCCCTCTAGCCAGTTATATTGCTATTGTAAATTCTTATCTGTTGAGTAAAATGTTTAAATACTGTATGTATCTCATGTACAAAGTTGACATACATTATATCCATGTACATAAAATTAAAGATATTAGATTATATACTGTTCATTTTCCCAAGCAGCTACCACGGTGTATTCAATTTCTATTCTGTTCATAAAACTGCGCCCTTATATAATTTGGCACTGGAATCGACCCTTTTTGTAAGGGTCGAGAGAGCATGGTAGAGAGAGCATGCTGCATCTCTCTAAAGTTACTGTGGCATTAGAGATAGTTACTACAGTTTGCTTTTGGATGCTGAATTGGAGCCAGGTATCGTGAGAATTGAAGGAGTTCCAACAGACTTGTTTTAAAAGGATAGATAGGCTAAGCCAAACACTGTAGCTCAATGAGGATTCAACAAGTCGTTCTTAAGAGCCAGAAATATATTACATTTATTTTAAAAATAAGCATCTATTCTAAGTACAAAATTGGGATATCCCAAGTATTTTCCATCTGCTTGAATATTAGCAAGATAACGATTTCAATGTCTATCTGAAGCAATCTAGCAATCACCAGTTAGGACTTTATTTGGTAATGAGGAGACGACAGAAGCTACCATTTTGATAACATTAACAGTCCGATACTTTGATTTTTCACAGATTTTTACAAAGTAATTTAGGCGTAAGATGAAATTTAGGCAAATAATAACAGAAACCATTTAGCAAAGACTGCACAAAGAACACCTTTAGATAATTTCCTTCTCCACAGTTCTATAAATGAGCTGTCATGAGAACATTAGATCAGGATTCAGAAGAGTGTAGAATTTGCAATCACCTAAGCTATATAACTTTAAGAAAATCTGTGCACTCCCACTGTCCCCCTTGCCCATTTATAAATTGGGTAGTGACAGATTTGGATAAGATGACATCAGAAGATACTTGGTATTATAAGACATTGTCTTTCATAGGATTCTATGATTCTAATATTATAAAGTGCTCCTGTAACTACAAGTGGGGACAGATGCAATCTCTTGACCTCTACATTGTCCCCTACATGCTGGCACCAACTTCATGTGGCGGGCATGCGTCAGTGGCATTCCTACGGAGCGTAGCATCGCTATGGCCGAGGGAGTATATGTGGTGGTCGTTTTGGAAGGTCCTCTGATCATCTGAGGATAAAATATCTCCCCTAAAAATCCATCATCCAATTCCTCTGCGTTATGATATCAAAAGAAAATTGATTGCATGTATATAAAACAGTAATGGCACCTGAAAGAATGTTTAAAAAGCAAAAAAGCACATGTGCCCAGTGGCCATGTAGCCAATCAACCTGGAAGGAGAACTTTAAAACTGACAACATCCCAGAGATGTTACATCCTAAGCTATAAACATGGTACATTTGGAAGAATTTACTTTCTCCTATTACTCACAAATATGTTATTATAGAGCAGCGTGCTAAATGGAATGACAGTGGATCAAAGAGTTATTGCAGCTTCTGAAGGCGATGGACTTACTCTCAGATATTGCTTAATGCCTGCGAACCCCTGGGAACCCAGCCAAGTCAATTCAACCAAGCTTTTACCTTCAGCCAGCTGTGATGGTGGTTTCTACATAGTCTGGATAAATTTGAGAATTCTTTCATGGCCCCAGTGAAATTTGCCTTTTAGAACTTAAAGGAAAATTAAATACACATTGTGAAACTTCTCTCTCTCATAAAGAAAGGGAAAAAACCTATTAAAAATAAAGACCTCATTTACTAATGTGTTAGATTTTTAGGAGCACTTGGGTGAACTGGAGACAAGAAAGAGAAACTTGTTCTTAATTAACAAAGAACTAGAAAGTCGCTAATATAAAAGCACCACCTTGTCTTCGTTAAAATCCTAGGATAGCTGTTTTGAGAACAGGGCGTTTAGAATCCCAAGGATAGTCACAGTATCATCGAAGAGGGAAGAATCTTTGAGGACATTGAGTTCAAGGGCACAATCTTTATTTTTCATGTGCAAAAGAAATTGAAGACCAAAGAAATAAAGTTCTCATAGTCGAAACAGATAAGTAGTGGAATTGCCCAGAATCCAAAATACTTGCTGAATACAAATCACTGATTCTTGGGGGAGGAGGAGAGTCACTTGTGGGTCATTTTCCAAAAGGAAATAATTTTTTTGTCTTATTTATTATTGCAAAGCAACTTATTCTTAAAGGCCATTTCAGATTTTCTTAAGAATGTGTGTGTAACCTATAACTGACAGCTTCAAACTTGTAAGAAAAAAAATTATGTTTAGTTATTTTCAAAGACACAGAGTGTTTTAGGTTTTCATGCACACACAAACTTCAGGCTATGAGATCATTAATCAATTGTAATGATAAGGCCTGGATCTAAAACTATTCAGAATCTATAAAAAAAATCATAGCAGAGTATTTTCTTGGTTAAATTACTTTACAATCAATGTCTAGATTAATTTTTTAAATGTGCATGCATTAAAGGGTATGTGCTGGAAAGGATATATCCATTTCTTATTTTCGTTCCTCAGAGTACCTTTGAAAAAATTATGATTTTGGTATCTCGAAAAGCCAAATGAAATGACTTCAATAAACAAAAAACTCTCTTAGATGAACTTTACAATTTGAAATCAGCTTAATGATTCTTAATAGATTGGGAGGTCCAGATGCATTCAATGAAAACACACACACACACACACACACGCACGCACTTGGTTTTGTATACAATTCAAGGGTTTGGTGGACCCGAAACTAATCAGGAGCTCTTCCAATACTTTACCAACCCCTCTTAGAGATCATCTATTTCTACTACCTCATTTTACAGATGAAGAAATTGAGGCCCAACAAGACCAGAGCCCAGATTCCTATACTCCCGTTTTAACGTTCACCCTAGGACTTAATTTTAAGCATTTCTTTACTTCAGAAAGCATACAGTGACTCATCCAGAGTATACTTCTTTGTCTCTAGTCCGTGGCTGGCTTCAAAGCAAAACAAAACAAGTTAGCATCTAACTTGAAAAACAAGGTCATTTGGAGCATCTCCAACCACTTCCTTCCCCACTTTGATAATGGTGTGATAGAGATAAAATCTTCTGGGAACTTGACCTCAGGTTCTCTCACCAGCACCAAGAGAAGTGACCACGGCCAGACTTCAGCTGTCCTCTGTTTATATCTGTCCACAGGACCCGGGAGGCATCAGGGCACACTCATCATTGTGTTCTTCCCAGAGCATTTGAGCCAGAAAATTATACAGTGGTTTGGGATTTGGGCCTTTGTTGTTGCTTTGAAGGTGGACAGTGGGAGAGAGGAGAGCAGGCAGATGAAATGGAGCATGGAGAAAATTAGGGCTTTATCTAATTTCTTTCTCTAAGGGGCCTGAGAGAACAAGGGCAGTGAGAGATCTCCTATAGCTTAACTTTATTAAGATTTTGGATTCTGTTTTATGTGCAAAATTACACTGCAAAATTTGACCTAGATCACCATCCACTCTATTAAAATTGTATCCACTGACTGACATTCTCATTTCCTTGGAAGGGTCGACCATGTTATTTGGAGAAGATTTTCAGTTCTGTTTATTCATATTCCTCCTTCCCAATCTTTGAGAAAAAATTCAGTAATCAAAATTTAGAGGTAAAGTTACTTAGAATGGCTTTTCATATCCACCCTTTACCTCTTTCAAAGATATTTTTAGATATGTTTTCAAAGTGTAAAATAAATAGAAGGCTATTGATTGCCATCACAGACAAATGATTGGTTCCAAGATTGAAGAGTGCATGGCCTTTAGGCACAGTTCTACTGCCATCTTGTCATTATTCAGATAGTACTAAAGATACGAGGGCATCAGCTACCCCATGAGCGTTAGAGGGGGAGGAAAGTAGTTCAAGGAGGAACATTGAGTCCTAGGAAAAGACTCATTAAAAAAACAGAAATAAGGATGAATGTAACTCATCATCCCATTAGGCTACAGGGGAGAATTTCAGGTAAGCTTAAGGTTTTCTTGAAAATTGTCAGAAATGTAAAGTTTAGAGACTTCGAGCCAAGGACACATCAAACACCCTCCCAGGATGTGGTTGTGTCCCAAGACTTCAGAATTTGAAATAATATTTGAGTTGAGACAAAGGTGTAATACAGAGAAGTCGGAGCAGATCACTTCTCACTATGGGTAATGAGATCTTGACAGAAAGGTCTGGGAAAAAAATATCATCTTATAATAAGAGATGTGATGAGTCTGATATTATTTGATTCTGAGTCTGATATTATTGTCAGAAACTGAGTTTTAAGCAGCAATTTCAACATGTTTTGATTCTCTCTCTTCTTGTGTAAATACCTGCCAAGATTAATGTTGCCATAATTTGGAAATAAACAAATCTATTTCTTATCTATAGTTAGCTCTTGGTATAACCCTTCCAACTTGTGTAAATAAGGCAGCACAGAATAATATATGCAGTTTTTTAAATGAGTTCTTTAAAGATTTTATTTATTTTAGAGAGAGAGACAGAGTGCAAGTGGGGGGAGAGGCAAAGGGAGAGAGAGAGAAACCTCAAGCAGACTGAGCTGAGTGCAGATCCCAATGCGGGGCTCGATCCCACAACCCTGAGATCATGACCTGAGCCAAAACCAAGAGTCAGACGCTTAACCGACTGAGCCACCCAGGTCCCCCCATATGCAGTTGTTTTAAAAAGATATCCTTGACAAAACCCCAAATGTCCATCCTTGATTATAATTGACAGGGTTTTGCTTCTAAGAAAAACTGTTCATAACAAACAGCACCAAGTACATTAATATACAGCGGGGTTAGAGGTTAGACTGTTCAGTCTCATCCCTTCCCATTAAATTTAACAACTCAGACCTATTAAATAAGATTAATGCAATAGCTGCTTTTACATTCAGGCTGGAAAGGTTCCACAAGGCCAGCACAACAGTTTTTAGAAGCAGCGTGTTACCCTCAAGAGCCACAGAAATATTGCACAGGCCTCTGTGTTTGTCTGACCCACTTCAAGCTCATCGGCAGATCCATATGGCAAAGTGACCAGCTTGTGGCTCAGCCATGTAATGGTTATAGCAACAGCTCTAGTTCGCTACACGAGCAGTTTGCTAAGAGCAACTGGTATAGTCACAAATACGGCCCATTTCCAATGGCTGA